AGTAGTGTTTTTTTTTTCTGTGCCGATCAAGTCAGTTTCTATTAATCTCAGTAACTTCCATCATACGTTATTCATAATATTGTTTCTTGACACTACCGCATATTTTAGCTCCTTCACAGTATATTACAATGTTTACAGTGGCGTGTGTGTGTGTGTGAGTGGGGGAGGGGGTGGGGATGGCAAAAGTATGGGTATAAAATAAGGAGAGAGAGAGAGAGAGAGAGAGAGAGAGAGAGAGAGAGAGAGAGAGAGAGAGAGAGAGAGAGAGAGAATGTGTGTGTGTGTGTGTGTGTGTGTTGTGAAGGAAAGGAATAGTCGACGTGAATGACGGCCGGTCAGTTCTATTAACCACGAGCCGCTACTGATAAACATGCACAATAAGAAGAGTACATTATGTAGGGCCTTGTTGCTGCTGTTGTCGTAGTTGTTTTTGCTGCAGCAATGGTTTGCAGCTTATTATGTAGATTCTAATCTCTATCAGCATCCTCAATATTGTTGTACAGTGGAATCCTGTTATAACGAGAGGAAGGGGACCAGAGCAAAATGTCCGCTATAGCAGGATTCTCGCTATCAGGGATCCAGTAATAAATTTAAGGGTAAACTGTGTAAAGTAGGCCTAATCTATGAGTTTGGTGTTCTGTTTATTTCCTTTTGCTATCTCCGCTGATGATGAATTTGTTTCAACATGACATCTAGGTCTTACTTGATCAAAAATCGAATCAGGTTTCTTTTTCTAGCGCTAGCAATGTTGACTGAAAGCTCGGTGTTGGCGATCAGAAAGAAAGTTCTCTAGGTTAACTCGCCCGCTGTGTTGTCCCCCACCCCACCACACCCTGTGGTGCATTCCGTCAGCTTGTGCACGTCACACATACATTCGCTCCATCCATCACATTGCTGTGACCTCTCCATCCCCGCATTGGAGAAGTGAGAGGCATGGTAGGTCTTGATAATCTAAACTAAGCTTACGCTGGCCTATCAGTATCACGCGATGCGTTCTGCTTGTCTGCGGATGCCACACCCTCCCTACTCAGTTGTTCCGGCCTTCATTGTTGACACATGTGGGCTCTCCCATTCCTTGTTTCGCTAGTTCACCATGAAGAAGTTTCTCTACTGGCGAGGTTTTACATTATGTATAATTGGCCTGTGCACTGTGCACAGCAGCAGCAATATTCCGCTATAACCGACTCGCATGTTTGTTTGATAGTGATAGCGGTATAGCAGTATTTTATTTACAAAGGTAAAGAAGAGAAAAAAACGGGGTTTTAGAATAGGGTCTTTATAACAGAATTCTCGTTGTTTCCGGACTCGTTATAAGTGGACTCCACTGTATATTATTTGTGAAATACTAGTTCGTGTACATGTAGGCCTACTACTACTGATTGAGATCAGAATGCGGTCATACTGCATGGCCACTGTCCAAATAAAAGATATCCAGTTGCAGCCAAAGCTGCAATCTAAAAGACCTTCTCCCTCATATACATACACACGGCTCTCCTGTCTTTATCTCCCCCACCCCCAATCCCACCAACTCTCACTTTCCCGTTCCCGTTGTGTTTCTTCATATTCCTGTTACTGTTACTATGAAGAAAAACTTATTAGCGTAATTTAACACCTAGTTATATCGACATATGATATGAATAGCATTAGTATTGAAAATAACTATTTGGTCCATCGTTGCTTAGGCTAGCAATACATTGTAGTACATTTGTATGTAAGTAAGTGTAAGTCATAAATCATAAGTCACGGGGCATAAAGCGCCCACTCCAGAAGATCTGCTCTGAGTCTGAGGCGCTACACAATTAGGATCAGTTGAAGTTGAATATTTTCTGGAACAGAAATGTCTTGACGTGTCGTTTGAAAGAATCTAGTCTCAACATTTCTTACAATCGCTGCTGGCAGTGCGTTCCATAAAGATGGGACTGAAACAGTGGAAGCCCGATTTCCGTTCTGGCATTTCTATTTCTAGTTGACGATCTTATGTGTTTACTCTGCCTTGTGTTTCTGAAGGATGCTTGCACATTTATGAGTTCTGTGAGATAGGATGGTCCTATTTCGTGGATTACTTCAAAAGCTAACAACAGTAGGACCTTTAGGCCAACCTCACAAGAAACTGTTAAGTCCTGAGTTCCCGGGAGGAGTTGTGGAAGGGATAGGGTTTAGGCCTAAAAGAGGGGATGCCATTAAAAATATATAAACTCTGCGCTACTACTACTAGACTTAGACTAGATTTATCTAGATCTAGGTTCATTACGTTTTACATTATATTATTCATTCGAAATCTGGATGCTAATTTCGTAATTTTGTAAGGTTTTAATTTTCTTTAAAAAAAAAAAAAGGCACAAAAAATAGGCCTACATTGTAACTTTTTACATGTAGCCTATAATGTTGGCATCCCTTCCCTTGCTTAAAATATCTCGATTCTAGGCCTAATACATGTCTGAATTATTATACAGATAGTTGAGATAGCCTACCTTGATTTTTATTTATATCGGGGGTTGTGTAAGCATAGCTCACATTTCACCTAATGTGCACTTAGATTACTTAGAAAACGGTCGAATTTGGCAGAAATTAGGCTAGAACTAGAAATGTAGCATTCGCAGGCTTTTGACTCCAGCAGGGCCACAACTTAGGAACTGTTAGTTAATAGTAGTGTTAGTGTTATCTGGGTTACCAGGTATCTGGTGACTTTAGAAAAGGCCAGAGGTGCTGATTTGAAACCCACTGCTTATGATTCAATTTAATTTTTAAGGAAAAAAATGTGGCCTAGAGAGAGGCCAAACAAAATGTCACAGCACTTTCTGAACCAGGCCTGGGACTGTAAAAACCCAGTCGGACTTTGGCTTGGGCTATTCTAGTTGTGGCCTTCCCGACTGGCCTTGCTCAGTGCTGCGGGCTGGTCAAAACACGAAAAAATGTGGCTTTGTTCAACTTCAAGTTGTACCCTATCTCTGGCCTGTTTGTGGCCTACTTTTTTTTGAGTGGCCCCAAGGCAATTAACTTATTTGCCTAATGGTTAATCCGGCACTGGCATTACCCCCGGGGTGGGGGGTAGTGCTCTTAGCGTACGCCAAAGTCACTAGGGTAGTGTTTATGGCATGAAAGTTTGAAAGCTTACGCCAAAACCACTCTACTACTACGGTAGTCTTTATTGCACGGTAGTGTTCTGAGCGTGTTACACCGGCAACCTCGTTGAATGCGACACCTACTGTATTATTACAAGCGAACAATGTACAATATTACGGGATTGGGGGAGAGAAGAAAAGAGGCATATATGTATGTAAAAAAAAACTCCCCCCAAAAAGGTGTAAGTACTGTCAGATTATATTTGAGCAGCCCCCTTTTTTTGCAGTCATATTTTGACGCGTCTGTGGTGTAGCGATTAGGCACTTCGCTTTTGTGTGCAGGAGACCCAAGTTCAATCCCTGAGGCGGGGAATAATTTTTAAAAAAAATCGAATATATCTTTCTGCTAGGATGTTGCATCTCTCTCAGACCGGGATAATAAATGATGGAATCATGGGAAGAGACTACAGTTCTGTCACGAGGGACAAAGTTGTCTAGACCCTTGCTGGCAAAATATCTGGTGTCGCCAGATATCAGCCCAATGACGAAGACTGGAAGGCGCTCACAAGGCTTTTATTATGCGAATGAGGCAGCCCAAGGACTGACTCATCATTTGGAATAAAAAAAATTTAAAAAACCCCACTTGATCTACATGTATGTCAACTGTGACTTTGACACGTAGCCTAACCTTTGACGCGGCAGAACTTTTCAATTTGATTTGAATTTACCTAAAGTTCGGAGGGGTTTAATTTAAATGTGTGCGAGCACACACACACACAGAAGAGAGAGAGAGACAGAGAGAGAGTGTGAAGGGGGAGAGAGAGAGAGAGAGTGTGAAGGGGGAGAGAGAGAGAGAGAGTGTGAAGGGGGAGAGAGAGAGAGAGAGAGTGTGAAGGGGGAGAGAGAGAGAGAGAGAGAGAGTGTGAAGGGGGAGAGAGAGAGAGAGAGAGAGAGAGAGAGAGAGTGTGAAGG